ATGGGTAGAAAATAAAAAAATAATAATTTATCTTTAAAAAATAGCTTGGCATTGATGTTTAGTCTAGTCTTGAAAAATAAGTAATTTATATTGAAGATAAAACAGGAAACAATAATTTTTTTCTTGATATGTTAAAAAGAGAAGAGTAAAAATCTTTTTTTTTTTTTTAAATAATAGACTAAGTAAAAATGACCGGAGGGAGTAACTTTTAACCATCTCTGTTCTATTTCTGTCAAGCAGTGCAATCAGGTTTTGAACCAAGTTGTTAATCACTCAATATAAAGAAACCAAATTCAAACTTTTTTAGGGGTTTATTGATAGAAAGTCCAAACATTCTTATAGCAGTAATTTTTTTTCCTAGCCAGGAAAAGCATACACCTGCTGTTACAATAAAATCAGACAAGCCAATAAAAATTTAACAACATAGATAGATGAGCCTTATGCTGAAGCAGCAGCTTCTTCCAGCAACTGTTTCACCTTGGTGATGTAGTCGTTCATGGCTTCAACGTCGGATTTTCCTGCCATAGATGCATACAGTGCAATTAGTTGTGTTTCTCATACAACCAAGAGAAAGGAAGTCAATCTGAACACTGTTAGATCACATACCTTCAACAGCCTTCCATGCATCCCACTTTGCTCTGTCTCTCATGTTGAATAGGCCAGGACGGCCTGGACATAAGAAAGGGCGTAAGAACAAATTGTAGCTAGTTTGGACAGCAAGTACATATGCAAAAGACTTTTCAAGCATTATACTCACTTGTGTTGACATTGCCAACGGTGGCTTGCTTGTAAAGCCCGTAAAGAATAAGCTTGTTCTCATTGGTGGTATTCTCGGGCAATGTCTTAGCTTTCTCAGCGTGCGCTTCAAAATCCTCCTGAAACCCAAATAGTTCGGTAAAAAGGTGTGGTAGCAGTAGTATACAAAGTTAAATTTCCAGGTATACTTTCCTAGTGATAAAATAAGGATGAGAAGCCAACTTAATAGTGGAGATGAACAGAGTTTGTGAAACAAGAGGGGAACTAAGTTATGGAAATCTAAAATACAAATTGAGTGTTCGTTCATGGGGTTAATGAAACGTTTGGAGTTTTTGGCCAAAAACATCCTTAAACTACACCCCTAACTTTAATTACATCCTTATATTATTCTTCTTAACAAAAAACATCCTTCAAGTATTTTTAACTTACAACTTCCATCCTTCTATTGAAATTTGACAAAAGATTAACAGAATTTACACAAAATATGTGTAATTCATAGTTCATACTACTCTAAGCAGAACTCCCTAAATCACCAAAGATTAAAACAATCTCTTCATTCCGAGATACATCTAAAATATTATTGTGAATTTTTTTTTGGCAACAACACTTGGCATTATACAGATCCTTTTACTAGCACTTTTATTTTAATTTATTTTTCATTTGATTTGATATTAAAAAAATACCAGTTGAAATATTTTGTTCACATAGAAACTACAAGAAATGGTGGCGACTTGAGACTTTTACTTTTAATAATGGGGAACAATACTCAAGTGTCATATATGAAATTCAGAATCTTGATCATTTCAAATATCAAATTGCCCCGAAAAATTGTTGATCTAATTACATTTTGACCTTACAGAAGGTCTCCAGCTTTGTTAAGTTGGTGAAGGAGAAAAAGAGCAGATCATGTCTCTTTGCAACACTATCCTAACTTTATTTCTTTTCAACAAATAATGGTCTCAAAAAATTTATTTTATTTGTTTTGGGTGGAGCTTTTTCCAACAGATAATGATATGTGGGAAAAGTTTTACAGAGAGTAGTGTGACCGGCACATGTTTTTGTGTAAAATCCATTAATTATTTGACAAAAATTTTAACAAAAGGATGAAAGTGGTTAAGTTTTAAATACTTGGGGGGATGTTTTCTGTTAAGAAGGATAATTTAAGGATGTAGTTTAAGTTGAGGGTATAGTTTAGGGATGATTTTGGCCAAAAACTCAAAAGTTTGCAATTCAGGATATCAAATATGTACAAATTCATTGATGGACTGGTTTATGGTTAGTTGCAAGAGTATTTGCAAGAATGTTAGACAAGAAAAGCACAATAATACATTCCTCAACATTGTAAAAGATTCCGCTGGCCAACATTTTGCTTTGACCATGTTAAGATGCAAATTTTAGAGACACTTTTGTGTTGTCATACGGTTCTTCAACATAGCCCTGACTTGTGAAATTATTTTTGAGGAATTCCAGGTAGAGAAGTAGGGATTACTTTTTCCTTTTCCTCTTCTAGAAATGTTACTATTTACACATCACAGTGAAGCACCAAAAACATCCTCAGATAATGTATTATGACCTCTTTGGTTTGTTTACTGATTTGCCCTGTTTGTTACCCTATGATTCAACCATTACCTCTCAGTAGCCTATATACTTGTGGTAACAGGAATCCTTTTAGTGCGAGGCGACTGGCCAACCAACAATTTTTCTAGTCACTTAAAAATAGGTCAGACTAAATTACATTCACTAGGTTATGAACAGCAGAGAAATCTCAAAGCCTGGCTGAACACAAAGTGCACATTTCTTTCAATTTCTCCCCTTCCTCAATGAAAGAAACATGGAAGGGCGATGATAGGTTTTTGACCAGGAAACGTAAACTAGTCCTAGACTAGGCAATACGGGATAGGTAAGAGAAAGAAGCTGGTGCTATCTCATATTCAGTTTTTGTAAGACTATTTACACAGAAGTTGGCCAATGTAGCACCATGTAAATTCGAGAAACAGCAATTTGTTCACTACTAACATTTTGATGGCCCTAACTGCACATGAACTAATAATCAATCTGATTCTAACATCTCGTTCCCTAGATTTAGTCATCGACTTAAGCTTCAAAGTATACACCATTTATATAGCCAATAATATCAACAATCTCAAAAACCAAAAGAAGAAGACTTTCATAAGATGAAATCTTCAAAACATTGTTGAAATTGTGGACTATTTCTGGGCCATAAACAATACATTATTGAATAATATATGCCTTTTAATAAGGCCAAAAATGTCATGTACAAATTCCTATAGACCAGTGACCAAAGTACTACTAATCTGCCATTACATTCGCACTACTTTTTATCAAATTCAGTGCTTACATCGCGATCATTACTATAAATCTTTCAAGTAGACCAAAAACACACTGCACAGATTCCTAATAACAACTTATGAAAGCATGGCTCATCTGGTAACGAATCAAATGACTATTCTCAACTACCTCAGTTTTTAAATCGTAATCATTAGCATAAATCATTCAACAAGGCAAAAAATGTACTGCATCCGAACCACAGTATGAACTGCTCTTACACATCAATAACACTAAGAGATCAGATCAACCCAATAACAGAGTCCTCACACTAAATAATAACCAAACAATCCTTCCATTTGGGTCTCTTAATCTACATTCACGTAACACAGAATCCACAAAATTACAGCACAAGCTGCACAACCGACAAAGAAAACTAACAGATCCGCAAAAACCAATTGAACAACACTAATACAACACAAAACCCAGAATTAAAAACGAAAATTAATCTCAGAAAAATCCTTTTCACCGTCAAAAAGATTTAACACTCACTGAACCCACTTCAAACAAGATAAATACATACTGGAAGGAAAAAAAAAAAAACAGAAATCTAAAGGGGCTTTAGACAATTTACCTTCAAATCCATGATGGAAATCTGATCTGCTTAGCTTGATAAGAACGCGAGAAAACTGGAGAAGAAGAGGTGTGTGATTGTGATGGAGATTGAAGAAGAAGGGTGGCTATATATATAGTGGAGTATTTAGCATTTTAGCATAGGAAATAACGTAATATTCGATTATGATAATCTAAACAAGTTGGCGTGTAAAGTTGCACCACTGCATTTGGATCACTTACTAGACATTGTGGACCCAAAAATATAGTGTGGACTATGGACCTATACTATGTGAGCTCCACATGTAAATTGTTGGGCTTCTTACCTAACTATAGTCTAAAGGGATGTATGCGTACGAACATTTCTATCATATAATATACTACTACTTCGTTTTATTATATATTGTTTAACTAATTAATAACTTTATACCACATTTCAAGTCATATACATCTAGATACATATATTTTTATTATTGGATATATTCAAATAGGGAGAGAGGCAAGTGAAATCTCCAAATACATGCAAAAGGCGAGCGAGAGAAGAAAGTGGCGAACGAGAGAGAATTAGATACATGTAAATTCACTTGAATGCCGTGTGTTTAGAATAAATTACACTTATTTTTAACCTAATGTACCTGAGATACATGTATTTGAACGCGTCAAATACATGTATCCAAAGTCCAAAATTTAATAACATTTGTAACATTGCAAACTAACGTGAATCTCAGCTTTAAATTTTACATATGAAATTTTCTCGATATTTTGAGTGTATCACTCGAAATGATTCACATTTGCAAAAGATCAAAATTTAAAAGCTCTTCAAAAACAGACTAATTCATCCACTATCTCAATCTCTTCACTACCTTCCATTGCCTCAATTCGAATGCTTTGAGAATTCAAAGTTGTCGAGTCTGAACTATCCAAAATAGGAAGTGTTAATGCGAGAAAAGCGGGAACTCTGAACATTATGCTTTATCACATTTCGATAGTTTCAGAACTTAAATCAGTTGCATCAATTAGACACATAATGCTTTAAAGCATTTGTATTGTTTTATTCCATCTTATCCAAAATAACGAGATTAATCGACAGGAGTTGAATACCTAAGTATAAAAATTAACTTCATTTGTATAGTCTGTCTTCTGAACGATCCAAAATTCATGTAAACCAGAATTTCTTAAAACGGGCTAGCATGATTGACAGCATCATTCCAACTTCAAAAGGAACGTCACAGCAAAAACAAGCTACCGAGCTAGTACAAACAGTAACTTATCAATCACAATTTTAAAAAACTGACACGATCACTAAGCAAGATGTTAAAGCATGCAGAACAGGAGAGGAACAGGTATTGCGCTAATCAAAAGATTTGCATAATTTCACAAACAAAACAAAATCCTCGAATAAAATGAAAAACATTAGTTCCTCAAAATGATTGTATGATAAAACTTTCACCAAAAGCCTACCAGAAAGTTGATAATGCTTAACAGACTACAATACGACTCTTAATTGCTTATTTCTTCTCTTCCTTTTCTGCTTCAGCTGCCCTCTTCAACCTGGCTCCCATATGTCGAGCATTTGTACGCTCAATACGAAGCTTGCCATAGGCCTTGAATGATTTCATCTCATCTGTGACCTTCACAAAGTCAACAGCAGGCTGCTCCCTAGTAATAGGCAGGTATGAACCCTGGACCTGGGTGGCAGTAGCAAGTTCCTCTGCACTAGAATCACCAGCCTGGAAGAGAGTAGTTTAAGGTGAATTTATGGCAAGAAGTGTGTATATACCATAACAGGAACCCAGTGAAGCACAGTAAAGAACAACAGTTTTTGAATTTACCTTGACCTTCTTAGCACGCCTTGGGAAGATAACTAGCTTAGCCTTGTAGGTCTTAAGCCTCTGGACATTGGTTTGGAGACCTTCCAAGGATCTGTTCCTGCGGCGATGATCAACAGCAATGCCTATGGTTGGTGCTAGCTTTTTGGGAATACCAGCTGCCTGAAAACCAATGCTAATCATTAATGACAAGATCAAACGTACAAAAGAATCTAGAAAATATGGAACTTTGACAAAAGAATTTCTTCTTTTACACAATGGATTGGTTTTGGTTGATTGTGCTTTTACTAGGAGCAAATTATAGAGCAAATGACATACAAGTAACTAGAATTGTACCTTCAGTTCTTCAAGAGAGAATCCCCTGCCAGCACGGACTTTCATGTTGTATTTAAGTGTTTGTCCATGAACAATAGGTCGAAGTGAACCAGCTGTTGGTCTAGGAAAGATCTTCACAGCCTTCTGCTGTCTAGCTGTTGACAACATAATAAAAGAGAAATACGGAAATGTTAGTATTGCACAACCAAAGAATTTCAAAATGAAAATATCATGCCAGAAATTCAGTAAGCAGATAGCATACCAGCACGTCTCCTTGTTTTCCTAGCAGGTTGGTTGAACCATGTCCTTACATAGTTCTGCCAATGCTTCTTGAAGTGCCCATTGGGAATAACATTGTTGTGCTTCATGACTTACCTGCATTTGCAGTGAAATAACATGTCAAACAAGCATCCATCAGAATGCAACTGCTTATTAGCAAATTAGAATAGAACTATTCTATTCCCAGTTTGTCGTTATCTTGACTTTGATTTTGTTTTTCACACAGAAAATTCATATTCCATCAAAATATAACAATAAGCAGCAAAACAAGCCAAATAAACTAATAAAATCAATCAAATACACAAAAAGCTATAGATGAGCAAGTAGAACTATTCAAACAAATATTCTTTGTACTCACTAAATACTACCTTTCTGGCATTCCATCTCTAAAAGTTTCTTTAACAAGGATAGTGACTACATATAGTTGAGTTTTAAAGCATTTCTTTGAAGCTTTCTCCATGAAATCATCAGGCTCATTAAAAAAGTACTCCTGGCATGGTCTTTTTAATCATAGACATTGTTATTTTAACTATGAACTGAGTTTTATACAGACACAAAATCAGCTGGCCGACTTAAATAGTAACATAAACAACGACAAGATATTGTAAGATCCCAAAATGTAAAGGCCAGATTTTTACAATCTTCAGGTCACATTCAGAGCGAGCGATTTGACCAAGGTTTTCTAAGACTAAACATAAACTGAAATCCAATCCAAAACATCCAATTCCTCTTTCAATTGAAGGACACTTCCCTACACACACTGATTTAAACAAGCATCCTACATTGCAAGCTTGTCAAGATATATCAATATGCAAATCACGCACATCAAAGCTCACAAAACTGAGGCACTAAGCATAAAACGCATAAAAAATAAAAAATTATCAGTTAAGAACAAGTTTATCTACCTAAACACACATTTTCAAATCAATTATATTTGCATTATACAAATTCAATAACACGTAGCTTACAAAATCAACTGAGGATTATTACTTGAAAATTTCTAGGTGAAAGACTGACACATACCTGGGGGTTTGGGGGCTAGGGTTCTGGAGGCAATGGAAGAACAAGGCTCAGCCAGAGTATTGTACTTCGCTTTTATAGGGCTGAACAAAAAACCCTAGATTTTAAAAGGCCTAAAAATGGATTTCCGAATGGGCTGTTCATTTGGGCCGATGTACTTTTTTTTTCTTATTTTCCATGGTCAGTTTACTCTGTGGGCCACAAATTGTATCCAGTTTAGAAATCGGCCCAGTCCACTTTATTGGACAAGGACTAGCCCATAAGAGTTCAATTGGGTGCACAAATATACAATTCTTAGGATCCTTATTCAAAGATTGAAAAATTATCCGAACTAGTAATCTTGATCCATATATTTTAGACTTTATAGTGGTACTTTAGGGAAATTACATAGCATAGCAAGATTACATACATTGGATTCAATTGGTCTCACATATAATTGATGTCTTCAGTATATAAATTCAACTTTTACTTGAAAATGCATATACATAGATATACAATTGGTAGCATATACATACATACAATTACAATTAAATAATGTATCCATGTAATTTTAAATTAGGATAAGATATTGTATGTGTGTGGATGGATTGTATATTGCTACATTTTGAAATGAAAATGATGATACACTTTAAAATAGAGAAAAATCTCGCTATATGTACAAAATAGACACTAATAGTGATATCACACTAATGAAAAATTTCCTCTAAAGATATCCAAAATCTATCAAAGTTTTTAAAGTTGTGGTATCAGAATTAACTTTAAACTTTAGATATACAGATTTGAAATAAAGTTTGAAGTTCAACTTTTGATTGCAAATTTTTTAGATATATTTTTAAAATAAGGGTGTCACAAATGATTATCCCATATTATTTTTTACTTATGTTCTTTTTTTTGTTTTGGGTGTTGAATAATAGATTGGTGTGTTCTTCCTTTCAATCTTACCACTCCATTAAAATCTATACATGATAGATCTCACCTCAATAATCTAGATAGGAGACGATCACCTCAAAACACATCACAACCTATCTGCAATACCGACAAAACCTAGGAAAACAGCCTGATTAGATGTTAAAGGATCCGACATTCGGATTTAAAATGATTTGTATTGTTATTATCTGCCAAAACATTTTCAATCAGTTAATTGTTTTAATGTATAATTGTTGAGGATAGATAAATGGCTGAAATTGTATCAAATATTTCATGATAAGTAGAGGACCCATAATGGAAAATATTTGAACACATGTTTTGTTGATGGTACTATAGGTTAGATTTGTGATGTGACTAATTTGATGTGTTGCAGTATAAAATAACTTTAAATGTGAACAGAATCAAGGGAGTTGTCATTGTATGGGAAATTCAATTTGAATTGAACTTGCTAACTCCTTTTTATTTAACAAGTCCAATTCAAATTGAATTTCCTATGCAATGACAAACTGACGATCCTTAATTATCAACAAAGGTCGTGGTGGAGTGGTAAGTACTTATTCAATTTTAATCAAAGGTCTTGAGTTTGAATTCATGTGAATATGAAATCGTCTTTGTTACGGGACACTTTATCCCTTACTATGAATTCAAATTTAATCAGGCTCTAATATATGTATCGAATATCATCTGAAAAAAAGAAGAAGAGAGAAGACATTCCTTAATCAGGAAAACTCCAAATACTAATAAACTAGAGATCCAACCTATATAAAAAAAAAATTAATCATCTGAGAAAAAACAAATTATGTAAGTAAGAATAGTGATTTGCATTAACCAGACGACAATTGACAAGAGATAGTAAGATATTTATATTAGGATTGTCAAATTGTATGTAGGGTAATCATTTTTCGATTATGTTGAAAATAATCACTAGAGTTTTAAATATCATATAGATCTATATAATGTAAAAACTATTAAACGTGGTATTTAAAATTTCATGACAATAATTATTGAGTGTACAAATAAAATTTTATATAACAATAGGACAAAAAAAACATATAAGATTCAATTGATATTTTTGATGAGGTGAGACATTTTAGAAAAAAAATTGAATGAATTTGGCCTATAACGAAGAATATATCACATCATATTAAAATTATTTTTTGACTAATTTAGTTCAATATTTAAATCATAAATCTATATTTAAGTAGGGATGTATATGATTGGATTAATTCGGGTTTTTTAAATATCAAATCAAACCATTTGTGTCGGATTTTTAAATTTATGAAACAAATCAAACTAATAATTTATTTATTTTTACTCAATTTGCGATTTAATTCGATTTTCTTTTCAATTTTACACCCCTAATTTAAAGTATTTTTACATGACATGAAAAGAACAAAAGTAAAGGAGAAAGGTTGTTGATACTCGATCGGTGATTATACTAAATCGTATCAACTAATCATATTTTTATTATTTTATAAGGTAACAATATAAATAAATCACCTTAATTAAATGGTAAAAGTTTACATATTAATTTGGTATAAATATCGAGCACAAATAAATTATTTATGTCTATATATTTGAGACATATTGTAATAAGGAAATCTGTAATTACTATCCTTCTAGTACATTCTAGTTGAACCCTGCTTAAACATTGTACGTATAATAGCCCATAAATTATATAAAAGATATAAATCATATTAGATAAGCTCCGTGCAACAAGCTCGACCACAAAATACATACAAATGATATTAAATCCAAAACTTCATATTTGAAAATTTTCTTACTCAACCGACTCGTCCACCGATAAGCAAAATACAAATGCGGAAAGGCAAACTATATAATGTATAGTATAGTTCAAAAGAAGGAGCATTTAATTTAAACACTCATTATTTGAATTACTATTTAGATCTCCAAATCTTAATTTTTCTTCTTCTTCTTATGTTGTCTTCTAAATTGTCGACAAAATTTTCCTCATAACTTTTTTATCCAAAGGAGTTTGGCTTTATAGATTATGGAATGCGTGGGATCTTTAAAAAAAAAATTAATAAAGTCAAGCGTGCAATGAATGAAATAATAACTAATTCTAAAGTGAATGTCTTTGTCCTACTTCAATTTTTAATTTGGGTTACTTAAAATTTACAAATAGTTGCTTTTCAATTCTTATAATTTAGAAATAATTATTGTCATAAAATTTTAAATATAACTATAAAAGTCCACAATATTATCATAATTTTTTATCTGTTGAATTTAAATTTCATAACAATGCTTATCGATATTTCTATATTTTCTCCGGACAAACGATTGAATCGAACACAATAACTTGTTTTTAAACTAACAAGAGTTATTGTGGTATGAATAGCTTTATGTATGAAAAAAAAATCTCATTAGGACTCGCATTTTTTTTTTAAAAAAAAGATCTTTATATTGTGTGAATTTCAATTAATTAAAGCTTACCACACACCAAGTGAAAAATAATAAAAATAACTTAAGGTTTACTGAAATTTAGGAAATGTCCAACTAGTTAGCATTATCAAGAGGTTACTAAGTTACAATAAAATTTTAATGAACTCTGACCTCTTACTTATTGGATGATCTTTATTTAGATATTTATAAAAAAAATATGGTTTTAGATAATTTAACATTACTTTCCTCTATAAATTAATCTTCTTTGTACGTAATTAGACATTAGTTTAACTTGTCATTATATTCCTCCAATTTATAGGTTTTGAAGAATCGTTACGTTTCTCCTTACTTCCATTAAAAGCATAGTTATAAAGTAGGGCGCTCGGTTCAACAAATCTACTGGACTAAAATTAAAATATATAAAAAAGACTTTAGTTTTTTTCCTCATAAGTTTGCATTGTATTGTTTGATCTTTGTATAATGTATCGATATATGATAAATTGTTAATGTATGATGTGTAAGCTTGATGCACATTTATGGTATCAAACTCTCCCTTATACAAAACATGATATTTAATTAAATAGAAGAGGATATGGAGTGATAAATTAAATTCATTATACACCAAGTTTCAAACCTTGCGACACTTACCTTGACCTGGGATGACACACAACAACTTGCTTTTTTTCTTCTAATATTTAAGTTCTTTATTTAATTAGTGTCAAATAAATTGTCTCAAATTTAAAAAACACACCCCAATTGGAAACATTTGATCATGTACAAGGAAATAGAGCCAAAGTGATGAAATTTGAGAGATCTTTGATGAGGTGAGGAAAGGTGATCGTGTGACATGTTTATTTAGGTATATATAAAAAATGGATTATGAATTTATGTTTCTTTAGTGGGTAAATAGGATAAGGTCACCAACATGGCTGTGGACGTGTGATACAGTGATGGGATTGTTCCACCTTTTATCAAGAGGTTTCATGTTTAAGTCTTGGTTATAGAGAAAATTCTTTAGAGGGCGTCACTCTTGAATAAATCCTACAATTTCAAATTTAATTGGAGCTCTAATGCAGACATCGAACACCGAGTGGAAATGAAAAAAAGGATAAGGTCATCGATGAGATTTGTTTGGCAAGAAAATATTCGTCTTATAATATTATATATCATCATGATAATTTAAATAAAGTAACACAGAATGATTTGTAAGTGTCACGGGAGATTCAAAAGGTAATTTTAAAAAAATCTAACTTTGGTTGGTGAAGTGCTAATTATTTGCTCCAATACTTCCAAAGAGGAAAAAAGGGGGAAAATCACCCAAAAAAAAAAATTGTTTGACAAAGATGGCAAAACATGCTTGGCGCTTACGGGTGTTAAATGGACGGATTAAAATGAATTTTAGTGGTTGAATAAAATAGAGTAAAATAGATTAATGGATTAGATGATTCACATTCTTAACGGGTGTTAAATGGACAGATTAAATTAAATTTAAGTGGTTGAATAAAATAAATGAATGGATTATTTGATTCGCACTCTTAAAACTACTTGAACTAAAATGAGTAAGTTGAAAAGGGTTACATATTGGATAATAATTCAATTCGTCCAATTTTAATTAAATTTTAAATTAAATTTTCGTTTGTTTTCTTATTATTTATTTAAAGATCTAATATTTTTTTCCTTATATTATAAGTAACTCTATTATAACTCTATATAACATATCAAATAAATGTCTTAAAAATATTTGGAGATAAATTTTTTCATGGATCGATTTAATGTATATCAACCTAGTTTATTTAAATGAGCTAAATCAAGCGGGTTAAATAGTTGAGTTGATAAAATAAACAAGTCATTAATTCATTCAAACCTAAGCAGGTTGGACAACCATGATTTTATGGACATATTTTACTATAACTTCATTTGATTTTTTAAAATTATTTTTTTATTGGAAGTGCTTTTTGAAATAAATACAGTTGAAGAGTAATAATTTATGTTTCACTAATCAATTTATAAATACTTGTGCCTATAATAAAGTAATTTTTTTATGTCTGACTAGTATTTCAAAAATACTTTTAAAAAGAGATTTTCTTTTTTTTTTAAAAAAAAAACTATTATTTCTCAAAATACTTATTTTTCTCTAAAAACTTGATCAAGCAGACTACTTCAACAAAATCATTACTCCTTTTTATATAGCTTTAGGTCCTTGTTTATAGATTTGGTTACAAGAATTCAAAATAATACTTAGAGATTATTTTGAATAAGTGCTTATTTGAAGTTTTAGAAGTTTTTATTTTATCTTAATTTTTATTTTCATGTTAAACATAATTTTATTTTAGCTTAATGTCAAATACTACCTTTTAAGAGTAAATTGAGAATTTAGAATCAATAAATTTTTAGAATATATATAGGATTACAATTCCAAAAGGGCTATGATGATATAAAATCTATTATGAACCAAAACATGAATTTGAGTAGTTAATTGTAGTCTTGTGATTTGATGTTTGTTATTTGAGTCTTCTCTTTTAATTGATCTATCCTATTTTATATATTATATATTCAAATTATCATTGCATGGAAATATAATTATAATTATATACCTAATCATGCTCACCTTACACCCACAATTGGGGGCACAAAATAGACAAACATTCAGCTTGCTTACATGATGGGATTGGCTCAATTTCAGTTCACATATACATTATTATATTATAATATCTTATAATAAAATAAAATATATAAAAGAGATATCACATAAATTATTGGATTTTGAGTACCCTACATCAATAATTATCTTTTAAAATTTAAGTTATATATATATATATATATATATATATACTGTATAAAGATTTTTATATTGTTAAATCAAATCAACCAAATATAGTAAGTTACTTTCTATTTTCCAAATTATCATGAAAAATATATTAACTAACTTAATTGGATAGTTCTTGTTTGGATGGTTGTTACATGTTGTTAAATTCATATCTCTCTTTTGTTTTAATAAATATACATTTGGATAGATTGTATCATTTTTTGTTGTTTATTACAATATCACATATTAATAATTTAAAAGATAAACTTATATAAAAAAAAGTACATGATAGAACTATTATATATAAAATACAAGATAAAAGTCAAAATATGATTATTAGATATACAGTAAGCAGAGAGTACAAAATGTAGGAGGAAATAAAGTAATCACGCGATCACACCAAATCTTTCGTTACAAAACAATATAATACATTATACGTAACAATCATCCAAACAAGTTGAAAGATATGTTTTCTATAACAACCATCCAAACACATTGAATAATATGTTCTCTCTCCATCATTCTTATTTTGACTTGAATACGTCTACAATTAAAAATATGTCAAATGTCTTTTAATTTTGTGACACATAAATATATCAAATGAAAAGTTTAAAAGTTTAAAGAGTTGCTAAAAAGAAGAATTATTCCTTTTTAAACTAACTAAAGAAGAAAACAAACCAAACAAATTAAAACAAAGAAAATACTACTATACACCGACAACGTACATAACTTAAACTCTTTTTTAATCTTATATAATAAATAATTATAAGAAGAACAATGTCTCCCTTTGACCTTGTACACTTGGTTTCTTGCTTATCTCTCTCACTCCATTCATATATACTTAGCCACAAACTAAACTTCCCCTCTAAACTCTATTCATCAATCTTTTCTTGATGAAGTAATCACAAAATCAATTTTGTTGATTAATTAAATCTCTGTTTAATCTATAAATTAAATGGTTCAAACAACAACAACATCTTCAGAAACTCTTCAAAATTCTTCAACTTCAGTAGCAGACAAGAAAACTTCTCAACAAAATGGTGATAACAACAATCAGGTAATTAAGAATTTAAACTTCCTTAATTAATTCTTGTGTTCATTTGTTTAATTAGTTTATGAACATGGCGGCTTAATTAAAGGTGTAAAAATGGTGATTTTTTTTCTGATTAACTTAGCTAGCTAGCTGTGTTTATTAAATAATTAATAATTAATTATGGTCGGTAATCATCCTAATTTAATAAGTAATCAACAAGTAATGACGATGACGTTTTTTTGAGGAAAAAACTATGGATTTCTCTCAAACTACTTGGTGTAGGTGAAATAAACAAATGGAAAAAAAAATATTATTTACTTATCATCTAAAAAAATAAAATGTTAGAATTTTTCCATCCATTAATTAGAATTTGTTTGAATTGACTTTTCATTTTTAACCTATTAAGTTATTTAATGCAGTTAACTATACTCTGTAGTTATCCTAATTAACTCCTTCACAAATATTACATGTTTTTTTGTTTTTTGTTTGTAATTTTTATGAAATAGACATGTTAAAGCAATAAAACAGTGAAATATGTCGGCCGGTAATTCTCATAATTTTCTTTTCTATTTTTTTTCCCGTATATTACTTGTTTGCTAAAGCTTCATAAATCTTTATTATTTTTATTATAAGTGCTTTTCGAAAAAATATTTTTTTAAAAATAGTTTGTGTTTTGCTAATTAATTTTAAAAATACTTTTATTATTATTAAAGCAGTAATTTGTACTTTAACAAAATTTCAAAAAATGCATTTAGAAAGAAAAAGAACTCAATTTTAAGAATTTTTTATTAATATTAAAATAGTAATTTGTACTTGAACAAACTTTCAAAAAAGTGCATTTAGTTATCTTGTAAATATTTTTTGACTTTTCAAAACTTTGGCCGTAAATTAATTAACTCGTTTGGACAATAAGCACTTTTCCCTTGTACTATAAATACAAGTTTTATGCTAATGTTTAATTTAACAGACAATTAACTTGTTTGGAGTGCATACTTAAGAGCCAAGTCATGTAATTATAAAACAGTAAGATGTGTAAAAATATTGTCTTACATTAATTTCTTTAAGGGATCTTTTTTGTTTTCCAAGTTTATATGTTAAATTTTCGAAGTTAAAAATAAGAAAAAAATTTACGCAATTTATTTATATACTTTTAAAATTATTAATTCTTATAACTTTTTTCTGTAATTTCTAAATATATAAATTACTTTTCAAAAATATTATAAATTATATGTCCAAATATAAATGATGTCATATAAACTGAGACATAAAGAATACCGTCTTTCTACAAATTGGGTGGGAGAGGGAGATTATTGTGGGGTTTGTATGTTGGATAATGAAGAAAAAAACACTGCACGCCTACAATGAGTGCAGTATATTTGGAAAAAATTCTGAAGACTTTATTTTATTTTATTTTTAAGTTAAAAAGTAAATGGAGAAATAAAATATAATTGCCGCATGGTTGACTTGGCTTGCTTTGTTAATAATGATCATTAAATTCAATTTAAACTTTTAGCGTGTACTTTCTACAACAAAATACTCACAATTTATCATAATAACATTAGGTTCATTAAATTATAATACGACCTCGACTATTCACTAGGTACTTGTTATATTTTATACATAATACATTGTTAGATATAATTTTTTTTCATTGTGAACCAATAGAAAATGTGTGCTATAAAACCTGAATTTTTCACTGAATTAGCTTATTGAGAAAACACTCGATAGAAAATAAATTTTCATTGAAATATAAAAAAACTTTCTATTTTTTTTTGAAAATTGAATTACATCTTTTTCATTGATTCAATTATAATATCTGTAAAAATAACACTAAATTGAGAAAATTTAATGAAAAATAAGTGACTTACTAGTAATGATAGTGTGACAACCTATTTCTTAGATGGAGAGAATATTATTATCATCTTACGGGTAAATTAATTATTGTCTTGTAATCAGTAACTTAAAAACACTAGATGGTTATATTATATGATCTATTAAACATTTTAAAATATTTTGATATTTCATTTTTTTTAAATAACGTACATTCAAATTCTAAAAAATATCGTAAAGAATATGACCAAATACAATTCGAACTTCAATTTTAATTTTTTTTCATGATCAAACGCCTACTAAATTCCCGGGCCAGGTTCCCTTAGTTGGGGGCAATTGATCCAAGCCTATATGGGCCTATAATGGCCCAATTGTTCTAGTCTTCCCAAAACAAACCCGATCCAATCTTTTAGTGGCCCGCAACCTCACATGCCGTGTTTGTTTACACTGACAAGTAAGATCTCAAAACAAAGATGTATTACTTCCTTCGTTTCAATTTACGTGAGTATTTGATAAGATACGGAATTTAGAATGAATGAAAGGTAGCATTTAGCTATGGATTTAGTTGAAACTCGAAAAAATATATGAATTTTTGAAGTCTATTGAAAAATAGTTTTTAGAAGTTGTGTTCGAACATATATTTTATCAAGGAGGGACAGAAGGTGTATATGATTTTTGATATTTTGGGAATACGTTGTTCTACTCATATTATTATTACTTTTCAGATGATGTCCTTCTAGTTTAGACTTTTGATCGATGAATATAAGCCATAAAAAAAGAACAATTTAGACACGTTTTTTTAATGTAATAATATAATTTATTAAAAATAAAATATTATATTGGATTTTTTAACTTGGGAAGACTTACATGGATCACCATATCCTCATACTATTTCAGCCATTCAGATATATATCCAGCCGAAAATGACTCTAAAAATTATCATTTTTGTTTCAATTTATTTGATATTATTGATAATAAATTATTTTATCAAAAATAAAATAAATATTTAGAAATATGTTATTTTTTAGTTATAAAAACATGATACTCTTTTTAGAACAATTTTTTTTAAAAATTGCCAAATAAATTGAAACAATAGGAAACAAGCGGAGTACTTTATTTGGTCCACAACATTAAAGCCAATCAACTAGTTGTACATTTATTTATCTAAATTTGCATAATATATTTTTTTTCCCGCTATTCTTTGGGTACGCACAGGGTAAAACCCCCACTCCTATGCAATAACTCGCAAATCACATAGGAGAGGTAATCCACACTAGACAAGTCCGGTGCGACGAGCTCGACCTAGAAGACAAATCTTGCTTTCATTGGCAATGGATTTCAAACTTGAGACCTCCAACATGGAAGTCCCAAGTCCAAACCATTGGACTACCCCGAAGGGTGTATTACTTTTGCTTTCTACTATTTATTTTTAAATATATTATCATAATATTTATATTAATTGAATGTTTGTTTTAGATTTTATAAGTAATTTAAATAGAATATAAAAACAATATCTTTTCTTACAATATTAAAAATTTGTTAAATAAAAATAAAAATCTATTTTTAGTAAGCGAAGACAATATCTAATTTATCGTAAAAATTAGATCTTTGACGATGGGAATCGTGCCATTAGGTCCTTTGAAATGTCAATCTACTGTTATTCCACGCAACCGAAACTTTCTTGCCCCCACGCCACCCCCCACTCCCGCCTCCTGTAATCCCTCACTGAACTGTAAATTCTCATTTCTGCTTGAAAAATCTTAAGCTTTGCATGTGGTTTTGAGGGCTGTAAATGGTGGAACCTTCCAAATTGATTTGCCTTTTTTCATGGTCATTTTCTCTTCACTCCATTTTCTCTCTTTTTTTTAATTGATTCTTTAATTATACATGTTGACTGAGATCTGATGCATGAACAGTTGGTTGATGGGCTGTAAGTTTTGTTTCAAGATTGAGTTTTTGATTAAAAATTCGATGACCCATTATGTTATTTTATCACGATCGATTGTTTTGTTGTTGTTTTTGTAATTTAATTGCTTTCTTGAACAACCCCATGTTATAAATTGTTAAAAAAAATTTGCTTCTTTTTGATGAAAATGTTTACTGGAAAATGCAGAAATTGAGGGTTTCAGCTCAAAGAGAAGCTGCGATTCCAATGGGGGATTACAATGGTGCTGAGTACATAGGGATTAACGAGGTTCCATCTCCTAGAACAAATAATTCTAATAAAGTTTCACTTTTGCCATTAATTTTCCTTATTTTCTATGAGGTTTCTGGTGGTCCTTTTGGTGTTGAGGACACTGTGCAAGCAGCTGGTCCTCTTTTTGCTCTTCTTGGATTCTTGATTTTCCCATTAATATGGAGTGTCCCTGAGGCACTTATTACTGCTGAAATGGGCACTATGTTCCCTGAGAATGGTGGTTATGTTGTGTGGGTTTCATCTGCTTTAGGTCCATATTGGGGGTTTCAACAAGGTTGGATGAAATGGCTGAGTGGAGTCATTGACAATGCACTTTACCCTGTTATGTTCTTAGATTACCTTAAATCAGCTATTCCTGCATTAGGTGGTGGGCTTCCTAGAATTATAGCTGTTTTAGCACTTACTATGGTTCTCACTTATATGAACTATAGAGGTTTAACGATTGTCGGATGGGTAGCTGTATCGCTTGGTATATTGTCGATGCTACCTTTTGTTGTTATGGGGCTCATTTCGATTCCCAAAATTAGGCCTGAGAGATGGTTGGTGGCAGATGTACATAGTATTGATTGGAACTTGTATCTGAATACTCTTTTCTGGAATTTGAACTATTGGGATTCGATTAGTACTCTTGCTGGAGAAGTACGTAACCCGAAAAAGACTCTGCCTAAGGCTTTGTTTTATGCTGTGCTTTTAGTTGTGCTGTCTTATCTTTTCCCTTTACTGATTGGTACTGGAGCTGTTCCACTCGAACGTGAATTGTGGACTGATGGATATTTCTCAGATGTTGCGAAGATACTTGGTGGAGTTTGGCTTAGATGTTGGGTTCAAGGGGCTGCTGCAGTATCAAACATGGGGATGTTTGTAGCTGAAATGAGCAGTGACTCTTTTCAGTTACTTGGTATGGCTGAGAGGGGAATGCTCCCTGAGTTCTTCGCAAAGAGATCTCGCCATGGAACTCCAGTATTTGGGATTCTCTTCTCGGCTTCTGGTGTGGTTTTACTTTCATGGTTGAGCTTTCAGGAGATAGTAGCAGCAGAAAATTTCTTGTATTGCTTCGGAATGATCTTGGAATTTATAGCATTTGTATGGTTAAGGATTAAGTATCCGAATGCACCACGCCCGTTTAAGATACCGGGTGGAATAATTGGTGCTGTGTTGTTGTGTATACCTCCAGCCATTCTCATCGGTGTTGTATTGGCCTTCTCTACAATCAAAATTATGATTGTAAGCCTCGCTGCTGTTGCAATCGGGTTGGTGTTGCAGCCATGCATTAAGCTTATCGAGAGGAAGAGATGGTTGAAGTTCTCAACTAGTTCAGATCTTCCTGATATCACAGCACATGGTCCATTAATTCAATGATTCTCTAATGAGCTATGGCGTTATAAGGTTTCACTTACATAACATCAATGACAACTGTGTTCAGTGCAGAGTTATCGTGGGAGTCTATGGAAAACAGGCAACGCGAACAGAATTGGTTGTCGAGGTTTTGTACTGTCCCTTTTCTCTTTAAGGATCTTATGGTAGCTTCTAATCTCGTTAGCTGTATTTGCCATGGTTTTCTGCCTGTGTGCCTTAGCTACGGTTTCCAGAGCAACTCCAGCAGAAGTGGTTCGTCAAAGGTTGTTTGATCTGTTTCTCTTAAAGGACGTTATGGTAGTTTCTAATTGTCATTGTATTTGCTCTGCTCTTGAGATTATTAAAGTAAAGTAGCTACCAATGATAGTTCAGGGAACTGTGTTAGAAACAGATGACAATTGTTTTTTCCTGGATTTATCATGTTACTTGTTTGTAATGAATGCAGTGTGCTAGTAAGATTAATAACTGTAGAGGTGTAAATGAATGCATATGTTCGTAATTGAAACCAAATTCAGCTCGTTTAAGTTTGAACCAAGGAAAAATGAGTTTGATTCCAGTGCCAAGCTTGACTATAACACAAGCCTACAATAGTTTTTAAAGCTTTTCAGAAATCAAGTGTAATTCCACGAGTGGAGTTAAAGGGAGGGTAGAATGTATGCAGGGTAGAGAGGCAATGCCACACATAAACATTAGTTGTCAAATTATCTAAACACTAGAACAAGGAAAAACAATTGATCGATCTAAATAATAAATACCACTTGCAATCTCCAAGAGTGAAACGCGCAACAGGAACTGAGTTGGTTGAACTGGAAAAGTTACGAGATTTTCCAAGTGTAAACCTCATTAGAAAGATTTTTGGGATGGGGTAGAAGCTCTCCTTGCACCACACAGTAGAATTTATTCAGATGCCCACACAAAATAGAATTTGTTCAAAACAAATTGAACGTTTCTTTTCCCACACAACATACAAAATTCAATTGATACCAAAAGAAACATTTGTTCTGTTTAGCAAGAACAAATCAATTAACGTACAATCTACTGAAGCATTTATACCAGGAGACATCGACAAAAATTCTTTTCATATATAGGCAAAATCATGTACAAGAAATCCATTAGATGCATCAGTCACTGCACCACTACATTTGATAACAAAAACCTCGGCACAAACACTTGTTGCAGTTATCGAAATGGGGAATACACGTTCAGTTCAACTACAAATATGAGAAATAAATAGCACTTGATTACTCGCAAAATGAAATATCAGTGATAGTACAGCTCTTTGACAAAAACAACAACTTTCTCAGAGGTTAAGGCATCAATGAAAAATCTTGCACCAATTGTACAAAACAAGGCCGTATTTGCTGTCTGTTACTGTCAATAGTACATCAGATGTTCTCTAAATTGATAAGCAGAAGCAGCCTACGATACACAGCTGAAAGCCTCCAAACTCTAGCAAGGACTGATTATTAAACTGTCAAAAGGATTTCATTCCCTGTAACACATAAGACTAGTGACTCATTGCATTCCACCTGATTAGCAATTAGATGCGACGCTTCTTTGTGAGGCGGCATCCATTATGGGGTTTTCGTGTTGTGTCCTCAATGAATACCACAGGGTTCTTATCTCCACGAGAATGAGTGTAGCCCTCTCTGAAGCTTAGAATAGCTTGCTTCTTTTTCTTGAAGTAAGTAAACCCATTTACTTTCATGACCACGGATCCCAAGCCTCGGTCCCTGGCTTCACGTCCAACATGTTCTGCAGTTGATTCAGCAGAGTATCTTGCAACTTTCCCTCCTTTTCCTGTTAGCTTACCTGCACTAGCTCCAAACTTTTTATTCCCTTTCGAATCTGTCACAGTTACAAAGGCATTGTTGCGAAGAACCTTTATATGAACAATATCAGCATCCTGCTCAATGTGATACCTAGAAAGTGGAGCACCACTTGGGAAACGCCTTGCATTGTCCTCCGTAAGTCCTCTAACAAAGTCCATTGGCCTATAATTGTTTCCCATTTCAGCTTCCTTTGGGCTTCCAGAATGTAAGAAACACCTCCTACCAACATTACATGTTGAACAACCATTCGATCCCGAAATTGAGTTCTGATTACTGTATATTTTGCTTTCAGTCGTCCCTTGAATACCTGCACCAAAATGATCCTTTGAGCAAAAGTTCAAAAAGCTTATCTTAAGACCAGAATAAGACACAAGGGCATGTGTATTTCAGAAGCTTAGAAGAAAAAGTAGAAGAGATTCCTCGATCTCCGAGATGCTGAATTTAGATAAGACATTGTAACAGGTTTAAATACATCTAGTTAATAATAGATCACATGTTCTACCATTGATAACAACCAAATCATAAGAAACAGGGAATTGAAACAAACAATCAAAATCTATATAGAATTAACAAGATAGAGTTAGAATTAGAATATAGGGAGGATAGATTAAAAAAAGGAAAGGAGAACCAAGCCCATTTCCCTTTCTGTTACTCAAGAAGCTAGTAATGGTGAGGCTAATTATCAAATCCAAAATCTCTACTCCATCTCTTTAGAAGTCTCTCGGAGAAATTAACTATAAGGTCTCACAATACGACGTATAGTGAGCCATTTTCTTTCTCCCACACTAGGAACAACAGACTATCTTTAATTAAAACCTTAATTTATCAAGAAATGGAACAGTAGCATAATAATCCAACAGGGTGGGGAAAACAAATACAACAAAATGCCAGATAGCCAATATCAACAAGTTCCCATTATGGAAAAATTTGAAAGAACACTATATGGGATACCAACAAGAGAATTTTGATTTTGCAGTGCTTAAAGACAGGATCATTCTTAATTTTTATTTCTTGCTTACCTATTAAAGCAGCAGCATAAATAAAAGTAATCAAGGCAGGTAACCGCTAGTTTTTTTTCTGTCTTCACCTGTTGAATGCTATATGAGATGACTTCTTAATTTGGTTTTATCACATCTTTGCAAGATTTCTGTTTTTCTGTATAATATGCATATTCACAAAGTGAAAAGAAAACAGACAAAATATTAGTCCTCCACCCTTTCCATCAAAAATAGGTTATCTTCCCCCTTCATTCCCAAAAACCGTAGTCTTTAGTTGAAATTTTCCATTTACTTAGAAATTGGAATCAAATAATATCCATAAAATGCTAGGTAATTCATAAATCCGCAAGCAAGGAAAACCTCCAAGTACCATTTTCCATTTTGATAGTCCACTATTCTACATTATAATTGTGATGCAAACTCCCTTTATGCTATCTTTTGATCCTCCTCAGTCTGAAACAACTTAACAAATTCTTCGTGTACTAGAGAGAGAAATATCAATAGTTTATCTAAAATTGTGCAACTAAGGATGGATAAGCTTTCACTCTTCAAGTGAAATTCAGTAAACCAGCAAGTAGATGCATCATTCATCTTGAATATCAAGCAAAAGATTTAATCATTACATCGGACAAATATTGAATATAAATAAATAAATGTTACAAGATTGGTGTAATTGGAAAGCAAACAGTCATTTGCAACCATTGAAATAAAATTTTAGGACAATACGCTTCAAAATAAGCTCAAAACTAAATTCACACACTTTGAATAAAAATGGAAACTAGGTATGGAGCGATACACAATTTGATGAAGAGAATTGCACAGCATTTAACAAGAGGAAAATAAACAGTACCCACCAAAATTTGGAAGTGTTGAAAAGGTCCTGAAAGCTTGAGGATGATCCAAAGATCGTAATTTGAAAGCATTGGCAGCCCATAAGACACTCCGAATGAGTTTCATCTTGCCTGTAACAATGCAAATCACTTCAACTTAGCATTTATTTTGACAAAAAAAGTATGAATAATCAGAAAAACCTTTCTTACAAAAACCTCAAATCTATCATACTTTCTTTCCAACTTCTTATTGAACTCATAAAATGATATCATTTCTTTATCATCAAGTTATTTCACTGTTAGATGATTAAAGGAAAGAACATCAAACTATAATTAAGAAATGGGAAGTTCATATGTAATATCCTAGAGGTATAGAAATTCAAAGAGACCCTTCCTGTAACTACTTTAATCCAATAGTACCATATGCATTAGAAACAAATCCAACTAAATATTTTCAGGTAAATTAACTTAAATAGCAGTCCGCCCAAAAAAATAGCCCACGGATGTGTAATATATGTATAACTATTGTACTTGAGCATAATGGAGTTAGAGTCCTACAATGGTATCTGTTATGTACAAAATACAAATTGTAGTCTAAAAGATCACACAACCCAATCTCACATGTGTAATTATCGTTATAGTCGTGCACCAAGAAGATACTCAAACTTGCTCCTTTCACGCTCAAGGAACAAAAATACACAGAGTAACATGTTCTAGTCTATCATTACAAGCTGAATGAAATTTCCACAGCTCAAACACACCTTTTCTTTTAACTCAAAGTACAACTTAAAGATCCATGAAAACATAAAGCAGCAGGAAATCAAGATCTAATTTTTATACAAGGATTCATTAAAAAATTAAGAAATCGATGCTGAGGCAATTTCAATTTGGATAATCAAAGCAGAAACAAACGCAAAATTTAAAAAAAAGCAAAAAATTGTTAAGATACCGCTGAAACCGAAAAATTGATGAAAATAATAGATGGAGAAATTGTAAAGCTTGAAGTGATGGATAAATAACTTACTTTTGCCACTGAAATCTCAGAAATGGAGGAAAAAAGAAAGGAAAAGATACGGCAATGGAGGAAAGAAGAAAGGAAGAAGGAATGTAGCCTAGGGCTTTTGTTATTGAGGGTATTGTTGGAAATAGAGAAACTATAAGGCATAAAAAGGTAAATTACTGTAAAAAAATAGTAATAATTTAAGACAAAATTTATAAATCTTTTAACCACCTTTTAATTTTGTCAATAAATCAAAAGGGAAAATATACAATTAAGAGAGAAGTATATTAACTTCATCCTCAAATTATTTACCGTCTTTAAAAAACTTTATTTCTGTCATGTTCATGAGTGTTTTCAATATTTTTATTCAAAATTAAAGACAAAAAGAATCATATGAAGTTTACGTGTTTGATTTTGCAAATACAAGATAATCTTATTCAACTTATTGGATTTTCGAAGTAATGATATATTGAATTTTCTTTACGTCGGTTTTAATTGTTTAGTTTTGATTTATTTTTAAAAAAAAATAGAATCACGTTGAAGGTTGGCTTAGTATAATTTACTTTATAACAAATAATTGTGTATAATGTTATAAGTCTGTAATACCCAGGTAATCTAAATTACAATTAATAAGATTTTGGGTCTCTCTTGCTTAAACCTGATACAAAGAAGTCTTCATAAAGACACACATTTAACATTATTTCAATAACAACAAAAGTTGATGAATTCAATGCTTAAACACAAAACTTGTCAAAATATAAAACTAACAAATCATAATGG